TATATATATATATATATATATATATATATATATTCAAATTTAATGTTGTCATATGCAGATAACATGATAGGATGTTGTTAAGGCACTTGTTGGCCTCTTTAGTCTTCCCCTCAAAAATGTTAATATTAGGGGTTTCAGAATGTTACCATTCGTCAAACTAGGTGGCGAACACACCTTCGATAAAACCTTTAATATATTTGCATGTTGAAAAAATGAATTTCTTAAAACTTAGTCTTCATTTTCCTATTCATATGTTTGTATCAATAAAGTTTTTATCATACTTTTTTGAGTTTTTTTTTTTTTCATTTTGTCCATCTGTTTTGATTTGATATTTGTAGGGTTTTATTTGTCTTGGTATTTTTTTTTAAACCATAGATAGGTTTTTCTTTTAGGAAAAAGAAAACAGAATATTTGCGTATTTGACTAGTCCTTGTCTTGTAAGAAAATTCTGTAAATATAGGTTTGTCTTTCCTTCTTCACAATGTAGTTCGGTTTTGAGAATTACGGTTATGGGGGAGAATTTGTAAACCTCCTTATATTCTGAGTGGATTAGTTGAGTTATTTTTCTCTATATTTTGTAAACTCATATTTATATAGCGATTATTGTTCATCTCCTTTGTAGATAGATGTAGGTCAATTGATCGAACTACGTTAAATTTGTCTCTTTTGATCTATATCTCGTCTGTCTTCTTTCCATGATCTTCCGAAATTTATTTTGCTAGCTTACGCTTTGCACATGCTTAACATCAAACTGTCCCAGATCAAATAGTTAGTTGTGTTGGAAGACAAACTGTGACAATAGGCTGACATTGTTTTTGCAAAGACACAACTTATCAAACACTTATCTGGACTGACAATTGGGTCCATCAAATCGTTTTTCTACTACTTCTGAGTTCTGAGTTTTTCTGGGGAATGTCAAAACATGAAGCCCACTAAATATTTTAATGGGCCTGCTCATTCTAATAGGCCTACTATTGTTGATTCGATTCACTTTTACTAATTGTTTTATTTTAGCTTGTGAATATGTTAAATTGATAGATTAAATTAAAAAATATTTATTCTTAATTTTTACTTTGCTAGTAGAAAGAAAATGTTCATATAAATATTATATGTACATGGTCTTCGAAAAATAGAAATAGTAACAAAAACAGAAGTGCACTACCTACCAAATTGAGGTTTGTATATTTTCTTCCCCTAATGGTATTGGCTTTTCCACTTTATTGATGAGTATATTTTCATTGTGACAAAATTGCTTGTCAAGCAAGTGAACAAAAAGAATATAAAATCTTTAAAATTATCATGTGAATATTGAGATGAATTTATTACAAAGAGATGGCATTTTATTGTTAGAGAGATGATTAGAATATAGACTCAATGAACCACCCATATATAGACATGACAAAACAAACACGGAGAAAATTAAGACAAAAATGAATCATAAAAAGCATCAATTATTGAAAATAAGACAAACTAATTGTTAAGACAAGTAAAAATTACCTTGATACTAAAAAGATAAAAATGCAACAGTATCGTTATATATAAGTAATTGGATCATTTTTCAATCTGCGATTATTATTCTTGCGCAAAAGTCATGTTACTCTTCTCTGTGTCGTTTCAATTTTATTGAATATCCCCTAAGGGACTTGTAAACAAGTAATTAAAGCATATGCTAACATGTTTTGTTTCAATAGATCGACTACTTTAATTAGCAGGAGAACTTTTATTTTTAATACATATTATTACCGAGTCTGAAGCTTAAAGGGTATAAAATGTTAACAAAAATTGAAAATGTTTTATAAATTTTTATTTTAATCAAAAGGGCAAAATCGCTAAAAGAGCAGCGATATTGCTTACCGAAACATAAAATTTCTATTAACATTTTATACCCTTTATACTCCGAATTATATTTTTACATTCAACAATTTGGTACGTACGTTCTCACGTGAACCATTTACCTTGTTAATCTTAAATGATTGCATCTTCTCTATTACCAAATAAAACAAGGTTAAGAGAATAATATTACATGATGGTTGATTAGACTATTGAGGACCGCTAGGACAAATGTTAAATTATTACATTAGTCGTTTTATTTTATGTAACACCGTTTGATTTGTTATGGAGTTAAAGAAAAAAAAAATTGAAACTTATACTTCAAAATAATTCTTAGATATCTATGTAGTTGTAAATCATTTCATTAACAGATAAATGTCAAAAACGCACCTAAACGATACCTTTTTTGAGTTTCATACTTAAACTATTGAAAGTTTGAGTTTCATACCTAAACTATCGTTTTTAGTTTGAGAAACACACCTCTCTCTTTTATATTACTCCCATCATGGCATGTGTAATACATACACACACTCTCTCTCTTTTATTCACACTCCACATGAATAAAATATTCAACTTTAAAAAAAATAAAAAATTATTAGTATTAATTAAAATTAAAAATTTAAAAATTATTATAAGAAAAATAATATTTTCTTTATAAAATAAAATGTAAAATATTTTTCTTGCCCTTTACCATTTTTAAAAGTTTTTTATTTTGTTTAAATTTCTTTTATAAAAGTATTGCATTTTTTAGTTTTTCTCCCCCTCCCCCAACCCTTACCAAGTACTAACTTAGGTATTATTTTTTTCTTAAAAATTCTGTTCATCTCAGTTAACTTTCCGCTTTCAAAATTTTTTTCCGTGTTAAGATATATATATTAAAAATATTTTTTACTTGCTGTCACAAAACTTTTTATATTTTTTAGTTGTTTATGTTATATTTGGTACATTAGTAGAATTTTCTTTTAGAAATACATGTACGTGCATATCTAACACAAAATAAGAAAAACGTAAAAGAAAATAAAAATTAGGAGCGAAAAAAGAAATAGGATGGGATAGATTTTTCTAAATAAAATAATATCAATTTCTATAGGGGGAGGGGGGGATGAAATATGAAAATTTTAAAAATGTTTTATAAATGATTTCTTTTAAAAAAAAGATGGGATTGTCGCGGAGGAGGGGTACGTGGAGGAGGTGGTGGAGTGAGATAAGAAAAATAATTTAATTTTTTATATTTATATTAATTTTAATTTTTAACTAATATTAATTTTTTATTAATTTAATTCTTATCTAGATAAAATATTTTATCTATATAGAATGTCATGTGTAGAGAGAGTGCACTACATACACCTCTAAGGTGTGTTTCTCAAACTAAAAAGTGATAATTTAGGTGTGAAACTCACACTTTCAATAGTCTAGGTATGAAGCTCAAAAAAAAGTGAATAGTTTAGATGTATTTTTGACACTTATCTCTTTCACTAAAGTTAAAGTAGAAAATTTAAAATTTAATTTTTTTTAATTATATTAAAATAATATTTATTTTGAGACAAAAGACGAATTAAAAAAGAAAAGGAAAATTATATGAATATATATTTTAATTAAAAGGAGGACCAAAGTGTTTGGAAGATGGAGAATCAAATCTGAATGAAGTAACTACAGAATATGACATTACTTCTCTTTTTCTACTACCAAATTATGCATTTGTCTAAACTAAGTTGAGAAATTTTCAACCACATATTTACAGTCCACACATACATAAATTCTTCTTTTTCATTTTAAGGAGGGAATTTTGTATCATAATAGGTTTCAGTTTTTTTTTAAAAAAAAGAATAAAAAGTAAAAAATATCAAATATATCTCTAAACTATTTAAAACAGATTGAAGTTACTCCATTATAATTTTATGTAACTATTTAAAACAGATTGAAGTTACTCCATTATAATTTTAAGTTATAATATAGTTTTGTTTCATTTTCCTGTGATTATCTTTGTAGTCTTAATTATTTACTCGTATAAAGTTTCTTCTTAAAATACAAAACCATAGCTCTATCCATAACTTTTGTGATTTTGAGGATTGGAGAAATTAATTGCCACAAATTTACAAAGTAGGGTTTCATATAAAACCATAAACGTCACTAAGAAGAAATTAACCAAAAATTTTAATGGACTTGGAAAGAAAAATTAAGTAAAAACATCATAATTATTGGAACTTTATGGCTTATTCATCTCTTCATGTCATTATCAAAATCTAAAGCAAGATTATGCACCACCTTTTAATCACATCATGATCCTCGAATTCCACCTCCTATAATTATTTTTTTGTTTTCTAAGTTCGATTATTTTGCATAGCATTTTTCTCAATTAATTAGCTTCTCCTTTTTAATTTCCTTTATATCATAGTATTAGCCTCCTTTATAAAATTTATTTTGACATTATATATTTAGTAGCTACAGAATTGTTATATATATATATATATATTATATATATATATAGGACTCAAACATATTGTACGTGTATGTATTATTAGGCCACTTCACAACAATCATCGTTTATGATAATATTTTATAGGAAAAAGGGTTAATGCCCCTAAACTGTTCGAAAAGGTCTAGATATACCCTCCGTTTAAAGTTTAGTTCATTCATTTCCTCGCCGTCCAACTTTCGGTCCAAATATGTCTTTATGGGCGTTAGTTGTCATGTTGACATATCCAACACACTTTTCATTTTTTTAAATGCCACATGTAATTATTATGTCATTTTGACCTTACCACATGACATTTATATGAAAATAGAAAGATTTTCGGACTCATTAACAACTAATCAACCCTTAAATCAGCTCATTTTAAATACTTTATCCGACCCATTTTTAATAATTTTATTTAGTTTTTACTTTTTCGGTAAATCTCGAAAATGAGTAATTGATTAATAAAAAATAGAAAAAATATGAAAAAAATATATAAAATTAACGACAAAAATTCACAAATAAATATAGTAACTTTAATTTCAATTTAAACAATTTTTTTAAATTTTTATTTTTTTGATGAATCCCGAAAATGAGTATTAATTAATAAAAAATATAAAATAAATGCCAATAATTAAAAAATAAATACAGTAACCTTAAATTCAATAATTTTAATATTTTTAAAATTTTTAATGTTTTTTTGGCTAATCACAAAAATGAGTTTATTAACAAAAAATAGGAAAAAAATATAAAAATTACGCAAAAAATTCACAAATAAAAATAGAAAAAGATGAAAAAAATATAAAATAAAAAAAATTGTTGAAACTATTGAATTTAAGGTTACTATATTTATTTGTGAATTTTTGACGTAAATTTTTTATTTTGTTTCCATATTTTTCCCTTTTTTCATATTTTTTATTAATCAATTACTCATTTTTGAGATTTATCGAAAAAATAAAAATTAAACCAAATTGTTAAAAATGAATCGGATAGTGAATTTAAAAGGGGGTTAATTTATGGGTCGGATTCGATGTTTATGAGTCTGAATATCTTTACTTTTTTATATAAATGTCATGTGGTAAGGTCGAAATGACATGACAATTTCATGTGACATTTAAAGAAATTAAAAAAATGAGTTGGATATGTCCAACATGACAACTAACGCTCATAAGGACGGACCAAAAAGTTGAACGATAAAGGTATTAATAAACCAAATTTTAAACGGAAAATATATCTAAAACTTTTTCCAATAATTTAGGAATATATTTGACCTTTTCCCTATTTTATATAATTATAGCACAACTAAACTCTAACACCCCAATAGGGTAATAGTCGGAACTAAATTATATTCTTATCAATCTAGTTCAGTTTCTACTACAATTTCTAGGAATTTACAACCATGTAACTTTTTTTTTACTGATTAGACAAGTGAAGGACAAGGTAATTATATTTTCATTCTAATTATCAATCATGAAAAAGGTAGTAATATTCTCCTCATCATCAGAGCCAACTACAGCAACGTACTCATATTTGTGGTAAATTCTTCTCCCATACCACAAGCAAAGATGCAATTCTTGCAAGTACCTATCAGCCACCACACGCAATTCATCGTGTAAAATAACTTTTAGCGACAATAAATATAACATAATATAAAGTATACTAAAATTTCTATCTGCAATAGTTCATTACGATTAATTTTAGTATCGTTATAGACTTTAACGATATCTATAAATTATAAGAAGCATTAAAATATAAAATTGTCACTAATAAAGTAGTACTTGCCTCTAAAAAATATATTCAGTGATGATTAAATTGTTACCGTAAATTATTTAGCGGCTTAAAAATTAAAATTATATTTGGTGTAGTGATATTAGACCATCTCAACTCTACATTTACTCTTATATTTGGTGTAAAATTTGATGTTTTGAACTCCAACCTACATCAATTTTAAAACCAAATTTGTGTGTGAATTGTGTTCTTTTCGTCACACCAATTCACTTTTTGAATTTATAATATTATTTCATTATACAAACTTTTAATTAAACATTTTATAAATTGTATGTTTTAATTAAATGTCTTGTATATTTAATTATTTTTTATTTAATATTTTTATAAAATTAATTTAGATATATATAAAATTTATTTTTTATAAATTTATTTTTCTATATGACTTTAAAAAAAATAGGTTAATTTTACTATAATATTATATGAACTACAATTAATATTCACAAAAATTAATATTGCAAAACATATAATTTTTTAAACAAATAATATCGTACTTAAAAATAATCGAAAATAATAAACATTCAACAAAGTAATAATGACATACATCAAAATTTTGAAATATAAAATGCATAG